CCCCGGGATCATCACGGCGGCTTGCCAACCATATTATGCAATGATGGCCACGGTCACTACCCGTCCAGCCCTCGAGGCTTCGGCTCTTCCCATCGACCAGGTGGCTTCCCCTCGAGGTTCTCTCCTACTCTTTCAGATGCCATGTCTATTCCCAACGACAACTCATATATCGACGCTCCTCCTCCGCTTCCTCCACCGCGCTTCGTTCCTGTCGAAGGTCCCCAGCCAGACCATAAAGACTTCTTTCGCCGCGAGGAATACAACGATAGTGTCTACGGAAGTCTTGGAGAGAGTCTCAGATCAAACGGGAGCTTGTACGACGATCGATCTGGTTATAAGAGCAGGGACCACAGCGCACCCATGAGGGGCCGAGACGAAGGCTATGCCAGCCTCTCAAGCTTCGCTTCTTCAAGGTACTTCCACTTGCCCGCGCTTTTATGGTGACTTGGTCGGCATGGAGCAACCCTATCTTCCTATCCCTGATTTACTGACACAACCCGGGGTAAACAGATCTCGAGAAGTCCCTCCCCGATTTCAAGTACATGATCAATATCAGTTCCGCCCGAGCGCAGACAATTCGTACGACAATCAGTTGCTGAAGAAACTAGACGCCAAAAGACCATTGGATGGCCGGGCAGGTCTGAGTTCTTCAGTTCAAGATGCAGTTCCAGCGCGATCATCCGACCGTCCTTACATGCAACTAAAGCCGTTGTCTCTGCCAACGCGGATGAAGCACCAGCCATTGCTAGATTCTCCAGGCAGATACAGCGAAACCCCTATGACTTCTGCCGTCTCCCCACGAAGCACGCCGTTCAGTCACCTTACACAAGCTCACGAATACCGGTCCCCGATTGACCCGCCGTCAGCCATGGACTTTGAGAGGAGCCCCGTTCCACGAAGTAGGAGGACGAATTCTGGTTCGATGGGTGATGATCTCTCTGTATCTACGGAGAGCTACGACAACGAGACAGACTTCCCCATGGAAGAAACATCACGCTTACGGGCTATTCACCTGGATGACCCTCACCACTCTAGAATGAGCAGCCTGGATTACCAAACAATTGGGCAGAAGCGTAGAGCCTCGAGTCCTCCTGGTGACGAACCGCCGCTGCATACTATGTCAAGCCAGAGTGATCTCCTACGGCGCCGTGATGGTGTGTCACGGGGCAGCCCAACCCCACGGCTGACGGTTATCCCGCAACATAGCAGCGTTTCGTCGGTGTCATCAGCAGGCAGGAGTGGCAGCTACGCAAGCCAGTTGTCCTTGACGACAAGCATGACGTCTGCGCATTCTTATGGTCGGAGATCCCCAGTCGGTCTATCACCAAGCGGTCTATCCCCAACTGATCCGACAGCCTCACCTTTCATGACACCGAATTCGCTTACCATGAGCCCAAGGTCCACCATGTCTCAGCGGATAGGTCCGCACCAGCGTACACTGAGTGAGCAGAAGACTATGGTCAGCCCCAGGAAGCTGACTGAGACGACTTTACGGACCAATGGCAATGTATCAAAAATCCAGGGATTCTTTATGTGTGATTGCTGCCCCAAGAAGCCAAAGAAATTCGAGACGGCCGAAGAACTGAGGTATGTGCACTGCCTGCTCCATAAGCTGACATAAACATGGCTTATGGCCTCAATTGATTCTTGGTCTGCTGACAACCTGACCGTAGTGCTCATGAGGCTGAGAAGCAGTATGAATGCTCATTCTGCGGTAATCGCTTCAAGAACAAGAACGAAGCGGAGCGGCACCAAAACTCCCTACACGTCCGTCGCCACTCATGGTCTTGTTCTGCTTTGTCTGGCTATGACCGCGCTTTCCATGAATCTACGAGCCGCCCTGGAGAAGCAGATTCTTGCGGCTACTGTGGAGAGGAGTTTGTGCGCTCAGGCAGCGGTCCTGCTGGCCACCTACGTCACGCTACGGACCAGGACTGGGAGGAGCGAATCCGACATCTACAGGACGTGCACAAATTCAGAGAGTGCAATAGCTCGAAGAAGTTCTACCGTGCAGATCACTTCAGGCAGCATCTCAAGCATAGTCATGCCGGTACTAGTGGTAAATGGACCAACATGCTTGAAAATGCCTGCATGCTGGAAGAGGAACCGCCTCAACCCGTACGGTGAGCAGTGGCTCCTTGCGGCTGGCTGGACAGCGTCCCAGCAATTCGGCAAGGCTCCACGGCGTCCTTGCCCTGGTTTGCGGCACGGGATAATTGAGGCACGAAGTCAGGCAAGAATCCGCGAGTTGATGAGACGCCGTCTTGGTTATCTCCATGGCCAGGCGATGACGGTGCCCGCGGCCCGAATCAGGAGATTTGGCGGGTAGTGAGGGAGGCACATGTCAAGTGGAAAAATCCAGCATCCTGGGCCGCTTCCCGCGAGCGTCCCAGCACAACCCCCGGCCTGCGCTTCCGATTGGAATCTTTACGACAGGCGCGGGGTTGTCAGAGGCGTCCACCGCTCCTATTGGGGAGTTTACGATAAGCGCGAGGCAAAGCAACAAGACGCTGCTGCGCCGTCAGCAGCCAAGACTCGAAGGCGTGCTCGAGCTTACGCTCCGACAGCTCAGGTCCAGGGTCGCATCGACCATGACCCATAGCGGGGTGCTGGAGGATTCCGTGCCTCAGGGCCACTTGACTGCCTTGACCATCATCCATCCACCCCCGCGCCGCTGGGGCCATTGGCCTCTCATCACTGCCTGTGCCTTTCGTTCATTCTGTGACGACAGGTCTTGACTGATTTGACGATAGTCGTTGAATTCCTATTGACACGGGTGATTGGGTCGTTGGATGTCGAATTGTACTACTTGTAGTCCAGTTGTCTGGTGTTGGGCTTGACCGGTCAGACTGGTGATGATGGACATTCCGTCTGGCTGACTGCTTACGCTGCCGATCTCCCGCTTCAAACCCGTGGGTGCCAATGCGAAGCGGGGGAGGACAGATGAGCGACAGATCTGACAAATCCGACCAGTATGCCTCGCTTTTCGCTGCGGTCCGCGCCTTGACTGCGCTGCAAGCACACCCGCCCGCCCGCTGGCGCCAAGTCATAGACGCATGCCTGCTGCTTCGCATGAGTCTAGCTTCGGGCGGATGCATGTCGGCGAACTTCCGTCCTATGCCCATCACGCTCCCCCCTCTTTAGCCATGCTCATGGGAGCATGTCTGCCGTCCTCCCTGCAGAATGGAATGCTACACTGAACTCGCACTCGTTGTATCTTTTGGGCAACCCGCTCCTCTTAGCCTGTTGCAGACCTGGGGAGATACAGGCGGCACCTGAAACGTCATCGAGAGCCATCCCTATCGTCATGTCATACATCTATATATATATATGTCTTGTTTATGTTTTCAGCACATTTCCACCCGTCGACACTTTTGGTCACGGTTTCACTCATGAATCATGCTCGAGAAAGGTTTCCATCATGTCGCCTCTTGAAAATACCCGCCTCTTCTCCCCCGAGGCACACTCTCACACATGAAGCATTTTCCTTGTCTCGGGAGTGTGACACAACCCCGAGTGCAATAGGCTGGTGGATTTTAGTGATTTCTTCAGTGGTTGAATTGGCATTCTAGGGTCGACGGTATATGCACACTCTGGGGTTGGTTGCTCGGTATCGGAGTTTGAAAAATACTCACTGGGAAACGGGTGGACGCACATTATTGTTGGCGCTACTACGCTTGGGGGTGGCTTATCACTGGCGGGTGTCTTTGTGCGTGTTGTGTTTATTTGATCCTCGTTTTCTGATACCAGTTCAGACCAGGCGCGAGCTCCTGCGAGAAAGGGCGAGCGGAGCGGGAGACGAGACCGGGCCAGTTGAATGTTATTCAACGGCGCGTGGTACTCAACTGGGAGGAAAGCAAAGGGGACTTGCGCACGCTTTCTGGTCATTTCACATAGTATTTATATTATATACAGCTTTTTGGGTCAAGGACAGGGTCGGGTAGCTCAAAAATGGATTCCGGATAAGGCAATGGCAATTTGCATACCCTGAAATTGTGATTTTCGCCGTCTTGTATGTGTTTGGAATGCTGGACCATCTCAGCCCGATATATCGGGGTGAAAGAGACGACTTGCAAAATTGCCCAGTACGTAGTACTTGATCGTTTCTAATTTAGACATATGTAGACAGACTCAGTGACGCGCTCATAGGATGCCAATATCCTGCAATACTTCTATCGCCTGCCTATAAGTACAAGCCAGTTTTGCCTTGCGTTGGGTTGCCTCGTCGGTTAAAATCGCTTCTTCGTTCCGCCTTTCTTCGCCTTGCCTTGCCTTGCCTTGCCTTGCCTTGCCTTGCCTTGCGTAGCTACGTAGCCTCGTTCAGCCCTATGACAAAAGCGTGGCCAGTTCTCTCCCTCCCTTTTTTGGCCCCCACATCCACGCGCCAGATGTGCAGTTTAGCCCCGGCCCGCTGGCCGCCCGCCGCCTCCACGCCACCACCCACTTCCATTTTCTAGAGTACTTCCAACGGCCGGCCGGCGGGGATCTGGGCTGGAACCAAAGGTTTTTTTTTTTTTGGTGACACAGAAAGGGGATAAAAAAAAAATCAAACACTAAAAGTAGGTAGCCGCATTTGGGTCTTGTCACGGGTGTGAAGTGTGACTACAAGACAATGCAACGACATATCAAACCTATATTTTTTTTATATCGCATCGTATCGTATTCATCATCCCATAGCAATCTGTCCTCCTGCCTGCATGCCTGTTGGCGGTGGGGAGTCATACTTGTTTTACTCTTGAGGCGACAAGTTAGTTACCGTAATAAGCCAGGCTTACTTCACCCACGCTGAGTGCTGGTGTTCAGCTTGGAGGGGTTGAGAGGAGAGAGCTCAGCTTGCCCACAGCTTCCACACCTAGCTCAGCTACCCCGCATTGCATTGGTCGAAAAAAAACCAACCGAAAAAAAACAAAGAGACTGCGACTCAACCCATCTACTTCACTTCATTTTCATCAATCAATTAACCAACATCTCATCACCCAGCCCGCCAGCCCGTCCAGAAGATGGCGCTCAATAGGGTCGACGGGCCCGACGAGCTGTACGTCGGCGGCATCTTCGCCCTGCGCCGGCCCGCGGCCATGGAGGAGAAGCGCATCACGCACATCCTGTCCATGATCCAGTACTCGTTCGTCCAGTGGGCCGACTTCCGCGACCGCTACGTCCACCTGAGCGTCGACATTGACGACGTCGAGGACGCCGACCTGCTCGTCCACCTCCCCAAGGCGGTGCGCTTCATCGAGACCGCGCTGCATCCCGAGAGCGAGATACCCTATTCCGAGGACACGGCCGTGCCGGAGCGGATGAGGCGGTTGGGGCCGCGGCAGGTTTCTGGTGGTAAGGACGAGGGTAAGGACGGGGATGGCATATCGCCGGCTACAGGGCGGCTAGAAGGGTTGCATATCACCACGGAGGAGGGGACCACGAGACCGGCGGTGTTTGTGCACTGCGCCATGGGCAAGTCACGCTCCGTGTCGGCCGTCGTTGCATATCTGCTGTGGAAACACCCCCACCGATACGGCCTGAACCCCAAGAGCCCCAAGCGGCCCGACAAGGAGAGGGCCTGGACGGCCGTCCGTCAGGCGCTCGACTGGGTCCGCAAGACGCGGCCCATCGCCGAGCCGAACCCGGGCTTCATGGAGCAGCTGCGCATGTGGGTGGAGATGGGCATGCCTGCGGACAGCGACGACGCGGTCGAGCGCAACGGCACGTATCAGCGGTGGATATGGGAGAGAGAGGTCGAGGAGAGCGCGAGGATAGGCAAAGCGCCAGATTGGATCCGGTTCGAGGACGAGACGGAGGATGGGAAGACTGAGGAGGAGGAGGAGGCTGCTAAGGAAGATGGAGGTGTTGAGCTGAGGTGTAAGAAGTGCCGACGGGTGCTGGCGACCAAGCCGTTCATTATCCCACATCAAGAGGACCCCGCCAAGCAGAGGTGTCCGCACTACTTCGTCGAGGCGCTATCCTGGATGAAGCCGGCCTTGGAGACGGGTGAGTTGGATGGACGATTGGTATGCCCGAATGCAAAGTGTGGTGCCTCGGTGGGGAGATATGCCTGGCAGGGTTTCAAGTGCAGTTGTGGTGAATGGGTCTGCCCGGCCATCTCACTGCAGTCAAGCAAGGTGGATGAAGTTGCGATCCGGAAACCCGCTGCTGGTCGCACAGGCCCGGGACAGGATCCGCGGTCCGCGTTGGGTATACGTCTCCCTCCTGGTATGAACGGGCAGAAGCAGAACCTATGATCGCAGCCACATCCATTTCAGCAAATTACACTATCACAGGGCGATCCTAACATGACAGTATAATCCTGCTGGCGCCATCAATTACATGACACGACGAGACGGCCTAAAAGATGACAGTGGTTCGTTTCCAGCCTTACTGCCGGAACCCTCTTGGCCTACTGTATACTACCGACCGCCGATCGGTCGGACGAGGCTGCGGACCCGGGCGGCCGCCCCATCTTTATGATTGCGGATGAAACGGCTGGTCACTCGACAACAGCATTGGAGCACGCACGAGCCAAGCCTGATGAATGTGGCTGCTTATGCGTTTGCACATTTCGCAGGAACCTGGCTTTCTCACCTAACCCGCGAGACGGAGGCTGCTACCGAGCTAATCACAGCACATCGCTCCTGAGTGATTCGTCTTCCCTTCCCTTCCCTTCCTTCTCTCCCCTCTGCTCCACGCACCCCCTGAGCTCGGTCCCGAAATGCCCTTTTAATGAGGGTGTCATCACGGAGTCATCTGGGCACACGCCCTCCCTGCCTTACCCGCCCGAAATGTCATCTTTGCCGATGCATGGCTGTCTTAGGGCTTACGCCCCCCACCAACTTCTCCTTCCAGCCAGGTACCTGCCGCCCTGCCTCACTCTGGCCTGGAGCACAAGTATAGTCGCATCGACACTCGGGTCGTCGACCTGCGAACCCTGCTGGGTGTCGTCCGGCTCCACGATTTGAGGGCTTCTGGCGCAGTTCCGAGACATGCCACGGAGAGCGGGGGTGGTGTTGTTGTTGATATGGACTTGACATGCTGGCATACTCGCAAGCACCATGCCCAGCATGTTAGTATGTATGCACATATGTGCGTACTGGGGCGGTCGACCTGGGTCCGTGTGGAGAAGCCCGCCCAATGACGGCGTGGCCGATGCAGGCTTGTGAGATCTGAATCGCTGTCAAGTCTTCACCTCACCTTCACCCTCGTCCCTCCCAGGTCGTCCAGGGGAGAACCCGGCACGGCTATCGCGTAAGGGTCCGTTGTCGTCGTTTGCCTTTCCTAACATGACGATGCAGTTGCCCGTTAGGAGACTTTGCCTGCGCCAAGTCCTGCAGTTATCCTTTCTACTCGGCAGTATTATGATGCGAGCCGAGCCCTGCATGGCATGGCATGGCACGGCGGGAGAAGTCGGGACTGCTGAGGGAGGATGAAAGTGGCCTTGCATGACGCAGTCTAGTCTGGCAAGCCTAGACTTAGCGTTGCTCAAGGCTACAGACTTTTAAGAATGCCCGATTAGTGAATCATCTGATTTTGACTCTCCTGTATGGGATTGTACGCTCTTGACTCACGAGGGGCAACTTTGCACGATATGCCGCGTGGCTTAGGACTAAAATTATTGATGAGTCGAGCGCCACTTACAAGCAGTTTGTGGTCTCGCCCTTCTATCACAGGTCTGTCAGAACCTTGGTTCAAAAGGGGCTAGGGTGGGGTGAGACCAACACAAAAGAGCCTTCACAGGCAGACACAAAGGTCACGAAGAGCCATAAAGAAACCCAGATTGCGAGCTCCTCGCCAGTTATGGACATATCTCTCCTTTGGGGAACCGCTTAAGTCCGAGGTTTACGATAGGCAAGCGTAACGCTTTTCGGAGCCCAAGGTGATCCGCAGCTTCCGTGACGAAACGCGCCGCCGGTCGGCATATTTTCTCAAAGCAGATTATCCTGCTGGAAAAGCGCCGAATTGTCTGTGCCACGACGAAACTTTCCCAAAGGGGTCGACCGGGCTTGAAGAAAGAGCCTACGGTTGAACAGGGGCAAGGGTGGTATGGAAGATTCTGTCCCATTATAATGACTTCTATTTGTTACATCCAAGGGTGGTGAAAGACAGCCAGTCAACTCTATTACGTCCGATCGAGATTTACGTTGCAGACATGTGGGGCCTTCCCTTGCTGCCGTGTGTCTAGCGGTTGATAGACAAGCCATGACAAAGGCAGCGAGAGGGCGAGAAGTCACGGTACTTGAACTTAGAGTGCTGGATGTATCTGACAGGCACCACCCCCTAACGTCAACCCCTGACCGATCTTGCCGTCGAAAGCGACGCTACAAGCCGTGCCCCGCAAACAATTATAGAACCAAAACGCTCTCAACCCTGACGTTTCGATGATGATGATGATGACCTTCGGTGAAGATCACTTGCCAACTTGATATACCCGGCTTGTCGACACTTGATTGGTGGCTGCGCCCGGTTTGACACCACGGGTTCGCATGGTCGACAAGGTGAGCCCCCTTGCTCGACGCTGTCCTGGCCCATCCAGATTCACAGACCACCCGAGCCACCCCATCAATTGCCTACCTCCGTAGGAACGTGCGAAACGTGGGGGCAGATCGGAGGCTGAAAGCGGATACGTCTCCCGAGAGTGTGCCGAGAAAATCGCCGGTTGACGTTTTGAACGTTACAAAAGCCGTTGTCAATGTTATTGCAAGGGGGAGGCGAATGTGTTTCGCGACGGCACCTCTCTGCAGAATCGGACAGGTCATTGAGCCGTCTTTACGACGAGCGGAGGTTGTCAGCTCCGACTTTGATCGCGATCAGCCAAGACGAAGAAGAAAAATGCCCAGGTTTGGTTCTGGGGGACAGTCTGATTAGCTCGCATGAGTCTTCCGGTTTTGTCACTGTGATGGTCTTGGCTCTTGGCGCCATTCAGCACTATTGGCGACGGCGGAATAGTGCACGGTGAATAGTGATCCAGCAGCTTGTGATGTTACACTAAATGGCTTCCCGTGAGGTCATTTGCTTGAGGCTACGATAAACAATTACAGAGTCTTGGCAAATGGGGTCTAGACTTGCCCCCTGATAGATAAGTCTATTTACCCAGATATTAGAAGAAATCACTCTAGTCCCAAGACTATTCTTCAGCCTTGCAGAACCCACCAGTTGTTCAGCCCATCATCTCGAGCCCGATTTTGCCCTGCGACTGACTGGGCGAGCACTCTAGTGGCCCAGAACACATCAGCACTTGTGACAAGCCTAACGGGCTTACTGGCGGAACTCCACAACAAGCCAAAGAAGCTTAATTGCCCACACCATTTACGGCGAGCCAGTAATGGAGTGTTGCTGTGTTGCCCAGAAAAGGGCTTACGGCACACATACCCCGTTCCCCCAATCCACTCATCGTCTCAGAGTGACGGGCCACACATCCTCATTCGGTTAACAGCCAGGCCAAGGAGAAGGAGCCAGTAAGCGGGGAATGGAATCGATCAGGCAGCGCTCGCTTTTGCCGTGTCCCTAGGCTCAAAGGGCGAGAGGGAGCACCCGTAATCGCCGACCTGGGAGGATCTAGTGTGCCCTGACTATCCCTCTTCTCTTCAGATGGATCAAACTGCTCGATTACTGGTGGTGGTGCGGACCCTTTCTTTCCCACATGGCGGCACATGCACAGGTCCGCCGGCCGGCAGCTCTCGCTCGCTCCAAGATCGGCCGGTAGTAACCACACCGTCAGACGGAACGGACGCACATGGTTGTGCGCGGAGATGGGATTCAGACCTGGACGGCAGGCGGAGATGCGGTTTTTGGCGAATTTGTCGTGTCTTTGCTCATCGTGGCATTGTCGACAACTCCAGTACCACGAATAAAAGCAGGAGAGGGTTAATTAGCCCCTTAGCATTGCGAATGTCGCAAGAGTTTGACCCTATTCCTTCGCAGTCTGTTCCTTGTCAACTCTGGAGAAATCAGGCTACAATGCATCGCGGAATGATGCCGCAGGCACGGCGAGACCGGCGAGGATCGTCCCACTATCTGTGCAGGAGCTGAGAGCTACGAAAAGGGGATCTACAAGAGCTCTAACAATACCGGGTCTCAAAAGCTTCTCTCCTGTCTCAACGTCAGCGTATCCACATCGGTTCTCAGACACGGCACTTGAGGCTGAACAAGAGAGTATAGCTATGCTTATGCTGAGACTTGGGGAACTGGTCCTCTAGCCTTGCCTCACTTACGCAGTAGAAGTAGCCCCTGGGAACTCCCCAATGAGTCGACACCTCCCGTAGACAAGGCTGTTATGCTCTGAAGAAAGGGGATCGTATAAGGCAACAGCACCTCCACTAGCCTCACCTAGCCGCTATCGCCGAGGGGTCTCGGGTCTAGGCCAGACTGCATTAATAATAGGCCTGTACGGAAGCGGCAAGTTGCGCGATCGTATAATTGATACTAGTAGGCGGTGTGGTTGTTCGAACGAAGACTGCCAGGTCCGGTCTCCCGCATAGCGCCTTGCTATCTTTGGAAAGAGATATTGGCGAGCCGTTATCAGCGCATTTACGAGCCCCTCTAATGGAGAGCATTACCAGACTGTCGGGACCGAGACAGCACACCAGACACTGGGCAAATGTTATCGAGAGTGACTGGCGTGAAAGTAGAAGAAATGCGGCCTAGGATCCCCTGTTGCCAATATAGTGCACTGAGCCGTGAATAGAATATCTTGGGCAATATCTTGTGTCATCCGAGCCATTCACGTAATAATAACTAATCCGATGTGCTTTTTTGGGTTCACCGAATATTTTCGGCCCCAAGTTTCGTGGGTCATGCTATGCTTCTTGTGAACCTGTGGGTAGAAGCCCTGCTTATCCAGGCACTTGCCAAGCTACATGATGGTACAAGGACAGCGGCCGTCTACATCTATTTCGACCGTCAGCACTAGCACCGAATCGACGACGGCCTACGTAACTATTGTTAAGTCCGAGCTAAATGCCATCTGATCAGTGACCAAGATAATACGGATCAAAATAAGCAGCAGCCACGCGTGTTCGGAGATTGTAGGCTAATAGGGTAATAGCTTGGGATGCACTAGCCATCCTGCTATGTATCGAGGATTCGATTGTAAGTGATCGGGTACCACCGTTATGGACGTGATCACGGCATTGCCTGACTTAAACGCAAGATTGACGCTGATGATCAGGTATTCGTTGCGGGTAGCTGCCCTGAACCAGCCCAAGTGCCGAATCCTGAGACGGAATCTTGGTGCGCAAATCGCCATTCACACTTATGAGTAACTCGTACACCCCCCTACAAGCACCACTTCTTAGTGATCGAACATCCGATTATAGAAGCTAACTTGAATCTACCCTTTATCATATTCTCCATTTGGTTGGGCTCGTTTGCCAATGCGGCAGCCGCGGATCACCGCCTAGTAAGATAAGGTCGATGTAAACTGTGCCATAGTGACATTGTATGAGCAAAGCCCAATTGGCTGCTTTGATGCAGGCATGGCCCGGCCAGTCAACTTAAGCCACTAATAAGAAACATCGATAGGAACTAGCAACACGGAATATGCGTAGTACGAATTGCTAGCCTTTTGGCGGGTTGGTAAACTCCTAACGATATGGGACAAGAACAAATGGCCCACGGCTTGGCTAAGACAAGGCTGTTTCCCTCATCAAGTTAGGTTAATGGGTTGATGCTTCAAAGTGATGAGGAATCCTAATTTCCACGGGGACCAAACGCCAAGCCACGGTGATCTTGTTCAAGTAGGACCCCTGGTCCCACCAAAGCCACCCGAACAACCTCGTAGGGCTGACTAACGCGGCCCCACTGATCAGACTCGTCTGCTCGCTTGAGAAGGGAAGCAGCGGCCAGGGTCAAAAGCTGGGGGCCAAAAAGAGGGAAATTAAGCTTGATCTTGCCGGCCGGAACCCACTCCAGCTTGTAGCACTGGCCCACCGCCACGGGCTGCTGCCGTGGACTCAGTCAAACGGCCCGTGAAGACAAGAGAGACTCGAGAAGGTCTCGCCACAGGTTTCCTCGATTGCTCAAACAAGACGAGATCCGGAATCGGCTCGCTGCAGGAGTTTCTCATGCAAAGCATACACGCGAGATTGCCGGACAGCCAATCTAGCGCTCTCTGTCGTGAACCGAGGTGGCCACTAGCACGGCGATCCGACCGGTCTCTCTTCCGCTGCGCCTGTGTATCCGATCACCACCGCCAAAAGATGCGGATAACGGCACATCGCTCACAATCCCGCGCCTGTAAGAGCTATCTCGTCAGTAGCACACATGTCGCTGGGCTCTCGACGAGTGCTTTCCTTGTCTGTGGCTGCTAGCTGCCAAGTAGGTAAAAGTACTGTACATGTAGCCCGTCAGCAGATGTAAGCACTAAAGAGAGCTGCTTGGTGCTAAGGCTGTTGTTTCGCGCACTCAAGACACCCATTTGCGTGACCCGTCGCTCCCCGCATGATCGCTCGCAGGATCAAGCTCTTTCTGGCTGTGCCTTTCTCTGCCCTGCTAGGCGTTTCACAGTACGAGACACGAGCCTGAGAATGGGTTAGGGGACCTCATGAGCCCGGTATCCATTGCGATGACAAGATCCGATGTTTGAGGCGGCTGACATCAGCCCTCGCGGTCCGTCGCCGTCCAGCGTCATCAGGTGACGGCTGTGCGACGCGAGGCTCTCCTCGACGTCGAGATTGGTGTCACTAGACGGAAGCTTTGAAGCAGTGAGAAGATAGTGAGGATTATACCGACGGTAGATGGCTGACTGACCAGTCAGACTTGCGCCATACCATCCCAAGGAGATCGACATGATGGACATAAGCTGCAAATGAACTCCCGAGGCGCACGACAGCTTGCATCCGGGAGGATTGCGCTGCCGTGTTATGCCTGGGAGAGCCAAACCATTCAATCAATGTTGCATCGCGTAAGGAAAACATCTTGTGTTTGTTGTCAAGCCACATTTTGCTGATCAAAGATGATCCGCGGTAAGCGGGGGATTTCAAGAGAAGAAGAATGTCATGAGGCACAGCAACGAGTTGCCCAAAGTATGTAGAACAGCAAATGAACTGGTACTTCTAGTGACCTGTCTTCGTGTCCACGGGGTGTCCATGTTTGTATCGTCTTGGATTCCAAAGACCTGCAATGCTGTAATACATACGCCATACCCTCGACCCTTTCTCCTCAATCTAGCTATAAACGCCATTAGCAAAGCTGCGTATAGGACACCATCGCAGGCTGTTGGTCGTGGGACTATTTGCGCCAAGATGTAACGCTAGGCTGCCTGCCGTGGAAATTCTGTCCCACGATCAGGACCTCATCTTCTGGGGGCCTATCAATGTTCCGCGATTGGTGGATCTCGACAATGCGTCCTCATGCATCATCATGGCAGTCCCTTCGGAACGGATGGGAAGAAGTTGGGATTCTGCAGACGTTCTCGGTTCCTCTTGGCCATTTCTGCCTGGCGTTTCTTCTCAAGACGTTGTTGATAGAAAGTTCTGACGCTGCGTTAGTTGTTCTATTTCGAAACTTGGTGTACTAAGGTCAGAGTTACCTTTGCAACGCAAAGACTCGTGGCTCCTCTTCCTTTGCGGGTTCCTTATCTTCAGATTTCTTTGAAACTCTGTTAGTTACGAGTTAAACAATATGAGATATAAGAGATGATAAATACCTTGGTTTCATCAGACTCGTCTTTTTTCTTGTCGTCATCACTCTTGTCGTCCTTTTCCTTGTCTTTGTTCTTATCTTTGTCTTTGTCCTTTTCTTTGGCTTTCTCCTCTTTCTCTTTTTTCTTGCGCTGCTTTTCTTCGTACTCCTTCTTGACTCTGGCAACCTCGTCTTCCATCTCCTTCTTCTTGCGGGCTTCTACTGCTGCCTGGTCTATGATCGGGGAGCAGAAGCCCTTCTCCTTTAAATGCCCTGGACAAACATAGAAGAAATCCTATCACGAAGTCGCGTTAGGATGAAAGTTGGCGTTGCGATCATGAGACGGTGACAACGTGTTCACAGCTGACTGACCTTGTTCTCGGGAGCAACGAGCACACTCGTGCTGGTCCTGAAACATATCTCGCATCCTCTAGCCGCCGTGTCGGCAACCTTACGGTGGGTGTAGATGTTTTGAAACGACATCGCGCATGATGTAAAAGCGATGCGGCTCCAGTAGTGACCTCAATATCTTGTCGCTGAGATATCGAAGTTCGTGAGTGAGGCGGGGGTTAGCTTGTTTCTGGCGCTAAATTCGGGTTGCTCTAAGGGCACGAGGAACGGCACGTGATCTATCCTACATCTCCTTTGTAGACAGCTCTATTAAAGAATATACCAGGTAATCAAATAAATACAGTAGAAACCTGGCCTTTGCTTCGAATATGCACTCCTGATAATAGCTATATCTGGTTGTTCTTGATTGGCCTCGAGTAAAGATTTCGAAAGCTCTGCAGAACGTTCCGCGGTTTGTGAAGACACCTAGAAGTGCCCTGAGGTCATCAAATCAGTGATGAGAGAACTGCACCATCTCTGGTCATGAGTCAGATCATACTGAGTATGGGACATTTACATATATGGCAACACAATATCAGAATGCCGTCTTATATGACACTTGGCTAGCTCATGCCGCGTCGATACTGGAATTTCACACCTGTTTGATTGACCAAAAGGGCCTTAGAAAATATGGCCCGAAAATAGTTTGACGAGAATGCGCAGCGATTCAAGTTATTGCTCGTGTTAACCCGCTATCTAACCGTGGGAAAGTGGCAGGTGATCTATCGACTACCTCATTGAAGCCTGGAACCATTCACTTGCCCTTCCCAGTTAGACATGATCTGCTAACAGTTTTCCAGCTCAGTATGGAAATCATATTCTAAGTTTATGAGTCTGCAGGGTATGATTACGCATCACTTGAGACTTTGAAGCTGTTGAACCCACATCAATACTCTGTGGATAGACTTTGATCCATGTGACCATTTCTGTGGCCAGAGATCCCCACATCTAAATGACGAGTTAACGTTTATTTATGTCCTACTAAGAGTGTTTGCTAATGATAGTGCATATTGTGTCACTAATTTGAAATCATTTCATATGATACCCAACTGAACGTGATACACTCCCGCTCTCCCCCGCTGAGATATTACATCACACGAGCGGTAGGGGAAAATTATATCCCTTATTATGTTTTGCTCGCATAGAATTGTTATATAACAAGCTCCAAAGAGTACAATTTTAGTGAACATTAGCTAGATTTCTATCTATCTGAATTTGTGATGACAAGAACAATCTTTCATGTGGTGCATGGGATGGGCACAGCCAAATTCTATTTTTATGATGGCGTATTATTACATATGCTAGCAGCTATGCTGGTCATATGAATGAACTCAATTCATTGGACTTGGTTTTGAGAAGCTGAGGAAATCATTCTGCTTCGTCCTCAATCTCTAGATCTCCGACTTTGAACTTTTGCCCCTTTTTGTCGGCGTAATCATTGTGGTCATGATAATTTTTGACTCTTTCTCTTACGTACTGGAGTCCAGTTACCGGTTTGTCACCCAATAATTGTTGATCCTTCAGTAACCCAAGCCTTCTAAGCAACGGTGAAGGTGCCGGCTTGATGTCAACTGAGTCTCCTGGGCGGACAAAATAGAACAGTCCCTGACGATACAGATGTGCTTGGTCCTCTGGCGGTCGTACAACTCGATGTGTTGTCGATTTAAAGTAACCAGCCGACCAGAAGTCCAAGGTGTCCCCAACGTTGCAAACTATCCCATTGTCTACCGGAGGCACATACCGCCAGTCTCCCGTGCTAGTCTTAATCTGAAGTCCAGCAACATCTTGGCTCCACAGCAACGTGAGAGAACCAAAATCGGTGTGTGCGCGTGACCACGTATTAGCGACTTTAACATCATCGGACAGTGGTCGTGGATGATATGTCATGTACCGGAGGTGGTCTTCGCTTGGGGACGAGTAGGCATGTCTTGACGAGAAGTAATCTTCTGGAAGTTCAAGTATTATAGAGAATAGCGTGAATATCTTGCTCGCTAGGTCAAGCGAGCGCTGTGGGTGTCAATGATGAGAAACATCGATACATTGGATTGGAAGAGACTTACCCTAGAAAACTTTTCGATCTCACCTTTGAAAGGTTCAAAGAATGGATGAAAAGGTTCATTGGCGTATTCTGGTATAAATTTTGCGATATTCACTGATTCAACATTGTCAAGAACTTCCGTGCCCATTATAGTCTTCTCGTGTGCCTAAACATGAATTAGACCGAAACCACTAGATGTCAGACATGAGAGACATACAGCTCTATATCCGAAATAATTTCCCTGTGTGAAGTCACATCGAAACTCAGGCTTTCCCTTCTCCTGGGGAGACAATTTGAAGAAGTCTTGCCCAATATCATATTGCCTTTGCACTTCCTCAGGAGTAAAGCCAGTGTTAATTAGACTGAAGAATCCAGTTTCATGGACCTAGAGAGATATTAGACGGCGTCTCGGCAGTGATGTATGATGATAGAGCTGACTGCTTGACGGAGCTCCTCTGCCAGCTCTTGCTTTCCCCCAGGATTATCAAATTTGGCCATATCAATGACCTTGATATCCGCCCATGGCAGAGTCTCCTTCGTCTTGTTGGGACGTTGCCATTTTGGCAAACCTGCCGCTTCAGGCAATACTACCGACGGCATATTATCTCAAAGTTGTCGTCGTAGGGATGTGCAAGTGAAGGGGTTAATTGATTTCAATTTACTTTCTTCGTGTCACTAAAATATTAAAGCCTTTGTGATAATTATGATTTCATCTTAAAGCCACCCCCGCGTCCCCGGCACTAGGTCCCCGAGGCCGGCTTGCCTACAGCTATGAAACCCGAGCACGCCATTCTCCAAGATTATGACGATCATACCGTTGCCAGCGACTGAGAATTAGATGAATCTAATTTGGTCGTTTTGTGCTAGTGGCTCCACCGTCCCTTGGCAAATGTTAAAGAGTATGAAGCAACCACGATCATGCTGTCATTTTGATTATGGCAACCAGAGGTTATTCCCGATAGCCAAATCCTCCTTGTGGGGTAAAGCCCAATATTGCAGTGCTAAACCAGCGAGAGCCGTCTTGCAAATAGTCCCACAGTAAGGCGTGCTCAGCGGCCCGCTGACTAGCCGTTATCATGCCCGCTGCCGAAGATAATTTGAACCTCAGCACGACAAAAGTTCTCGAACCCCATTGAAAGAGTAATTCGTTCAAGATTTATCTCTCTAGAGCCTTGAGATTCGTCTGGTAAAATGGGATTCCTGGACCGATTTCTTGACGGCAATGGCCCTTCAGTCGGAAACGAAAAACCGGTTGTTAAGACTGCTCACCGGAAGGTGGACAATCGGCTGCTGCTCTGGTATGCATTCGTGTACTTAATCATGAGAATTCATGTGGGCAACATTAGCAACGCGGCAATCATCAACCTTGAAGAGGGCACAGGTATCAAGAAACAACTCGGAGGTTTATCAAGCTCACAATGGGCATGGGCACTCAGCATATTCTATTATCCATATATGGTGTTTGAACCATTGGCGACTTTGGCATTGAAAAGATTTTCGCCCAGCGTATGGATGAGCCGAATTATGGTTACCTGGGTAAATTTGTTTGGTAGTCTTTTCAGCACCCTAGAATCTGTACTAAGTGTTAAATAGGGTATCATATCTATGTGTCAGGGGGCAACCCAAAACTATGCGGGCATATTAGCGTGTCGATTCTTTCTAGGCCTCGCTGAAGCTGGCTTTTATCCTGGAGTTCTGTATGCGTTTCTGTCCGTGTCCGTGCTGAATTGTAGCTAACATGTATTAGATACCACCTCAGCTTTTGGTATCCCGCGCACAAGCTTCCGTTTCGAATAGTAAGAAGGCTCTAGTATTGAATAAGTTACCAAAACTAATTACTTATAGGCGTTCTTCTATGCATGCGGCATGTTCTCCGGTACAATCAGTGGGCTTTTAGGTATGTGGTCTCTGGTCATGCTATCGAATATAATATAACTTACTTGTGCAGCGTATGCCATTTCCTTCATGAACGGAGCCGGAGGTCTGGCAGGGTGGAGATGGGTACGTCGGTCAATCCCTAATTGCCTTTACATGCTATTGACTCAAGCTCTGATTTGCAGCTGTTCATCCTTGAAGGCATTCCTGCTATACTCTGCGGTGTTTACACGTTCTTCTTCCTCCCGAACTGTTAGTCTTCATCGCAACTTTGCACATAACTCAGCTAATGCAAGACATCTAGACCCTGAAACAGTAAAGTTCTTGAGCGAAGCTGAAAGAGAAGCTGTCTTGGCTGAGCTCCCGGAACAAGCCCCAACTATGAAAGCGAAGACTGTCAATGTTCAGCAGATCAAAGACTTATTCGGCAGCTCGACATTTGTCCCATTTCTAATGATTTGGATCACTCATGGCATCGGTGGTTGGGGAATTTCGTTTGTTCTCCCCACAGTCATATATGAACTTGGAATCTCAAATACTGCCATTTCGCAAGTCATGACAATGGTATGGCCTTTGAAACTCACAAGAGATGAGAGACGTCTAACAGTGTATAGCCTCCGTTCACACTTGTATTTGTGATACTTCTCACACTCGCCTTTTTCATCCACGCACAGAAGCTAAGCCCGTGGATCGCCGGCTTGGGTGTTGAGCTGGTACAAATCATCTGCTATATTCTTCTTATCACTGTCAAGCACCCCATTGCAAAGTATATCTTTGTCATGATTGCTACGGCGGCATCTCAAAGTTTCTTTCCGATTATATGGCCAGGTGAGTTACCTACATACCACAAAAGACCTCAAGCTGGCTTTGACACGATTACTTTAGAACGTATTCGAGCAGCAAAGGGTACGACCTCCGCTGGTCTAGCTATTGGTATCACGAATGTGAGTAGTGGTTCTGCATACTGTAAATGACTTCAGTATTGACATAGTACGTAGGCATCTTGTCAGCTGATGGGCATTGTTGTAAGTACTTTCGAAAGTCTCACGGATGTGTATCGTCTCATTGTTTCATAGGGACCACAGATATATCAGTCAAAATTCGGCCCAACATATCGTGTCAGCTATTCGTGTTCAATCGGGTTACTTTGTGCAACTCTTATATCCGTTGCAACGGCATGGTTCTTT